TTATTTTATTACCAATTTTTATTATTATTATCTATTGCTCTTTGTTTGTTTGGTTGTTTGTTTCATTATTATTATTATTATCAAAAATCTTTTTATTGTGTTCTGGTATAGTTATAATTATCTTTTTTTTTTCAAGTTGCCGTTTTTTGTTCACAAGTATACAACACTGGGTGCACTGGTAGAAAAAGTGTAAGCAGGGAGACTGTTGCTAATTACTACTTCAACTCTATCCCAAAACCCAGATCATCAGAAGTTTTCCATCCTACCCACAAAACAATTTTTTTTTTTTGGGCGAACGAATCCTGTCATTCCCCCCACGTTCTAGCATGGCGCCCCCAAATAGCACACACACGCCATCGGCAACGACAACAATGCACGCACGACGCCCGACTACCAAGAGGAAAAAGAAACAGAAGCGACGCCTCGTCCGCCGCGAGTCACTCTGGGCGCGGCTACGTGGGCTCCCGGGCGACCTGGCACTAGCCGCAAGCGAACAAATCGAAACAATTGAATGGTCCGAGCTCCGCTGGTCCGTGCTGGTTCCGGCGGGAGTTGCGGCCAACGTCATTTTGGTTCTTTGCCGCGTGGCCGTCGACCGTGCGCGCGCTCGTGGCCTTGACCTCGCGGCAGCGACGGGCACTGGGGCGGCTGGAGGTGGCGCGCGGGTGATTTCAATTCTTTGCGGCCCCGCGGTGCTGCTGGCACGCCTAGCCGCGTGGGTTTGGACGCAGTTCATTGGCCGCACGACGCTGGAGCAGAATGGACTTTATAATGGCGCCATTGACGGCGACGACGACATCTTTGCTGCCGCCCCGTCCGCTGCGAACCAACCCCCTGGCGGGACGAAGGTGCTGCTATTCTACGTGCTGCCGCTGGTGGTGGGGTGGCTGCTTGTGCTGGCAAGTGTTTGGAATGCCGTGAGCTGTTTGTTCTTGCGCCGCCGCAAGTATTATCTGGCTGAGCGCCCGTTGGACCATAGTATCGACTCGGCCTCGGCGCAGATTGAGCCCATGCTCATGGTGCCCCTCCCCGCTGAGGCGGATAATAACAATGACGATGATAGTGATGACACTACGTCAGGGAAGGGCCTGCTGGCACGGCTATTTTCGTGGTGGCAGCCGCAACAGAAGCTTGCGCCCTCGGTCGCGGACCTTGACAGAGGCCGCCAACAGCTGGTCTGGACTCTTGATACCTGGAACCCTTCAGTTGTAAACTTGCACCTGCTCGCCCTTTTCTCTCCGCTCAATGTGCTGCTGTTATGGTTTGGCCCCCTGGGCGTGTTTAACGTGGTTATTGTGACGCCGCTGCTGACGCTGTTTTTGGCCTACTTGATTCTTGCCAAGTTTTCTAATAAACTTACCGATTTGTCGGTGCTGCACGCCGAGGTACTGCGGGAGTATGAGGTGAGCGTGGTGCGGCCGCTGAGCTCCGTGGCGCGCCGCGATGCGGCGGTGGGATCTGATGGCAGCGTGAGCTTCTACGCGCCCTCGCTCAACCACCAGTTTCGCCCGCGCCATCAGACCCATAGCACCACCGGGGCAGCAGAGCCGCTGCAGCCGCCGCGCGAGGTGCTTGGTGCCCCGGTTTTCCCCTCGACCCTTGCGGCCGCCAACGCTGTGCGTAAGCGCGAGTCCCTGCCTCCGTTCAAACTTACGTATAACCCCGCGGGGTATTACACCGGCTCGCCCAAACATCCCGAGCCTGTCACCAGCCATTACACCCATGGTGCTGGCCATGGTGTTGGCGATGACCCCTCTTATGACAGCTCTCCGCGCCGGGAGCCGGGGTCATTTGCGACCTACACGGGGCCGAAAGAAGCAGGCCTGTTCCGGCGTCTTCACCGCTAACGTTTCTCCTGGTCTTTAACTCTTCCCTCTGGAAAACCCCTCTGTTAAAAAAAAAAAAAAAAAAAAAAAAAAAAAAAACAACAGTCTATTATTCTAAGTCCATGTACTTGTTTTTGAAATGCCATTCTTTAGCATTTAAAATGAACATTATATTGTACAGTATATGTGATTCATTTAAACACTCCTCCGCCATACACATAAAGTATCAGGTTCCGCAATGACAAGCTTAATTGAATACTTTTAAATTTTTTTTTTTTTTTTTTTGGTCTGCAAGTATATTATGTATTACAAGATATGTATAGTAATAAATAATAATAATAATAATAATAAAAAAAGTAAATTATAAAAACATAAACCAACAAAACCAAAAAGAAAAAAAAAAAGGAGAGAGAGAGAAAAAAAAAGAAATCAACCGGTTTCAATGCCATTGACTGATCAGCCCTTGCCAAGATCCCAGGCGCTCACACACGGCTGATTCTCCTCCACCTCCTCCCCAATGAACCCTGAAAACCTCTCTACAGGTCGAAAATTCCCTCCTCGCCGTGGGCCACGCCGTCAGTACAGGCATCCGCAATGCTGGAAAGGAATCCCTTGAGCATGCCACTTTGGACAAACAGATTGTAAAGCTTGAGTCGCTCGTCGGCCACAATCGTCGCGAGCCGCACAGCCTGGTAGAGGAAGCGCTCGTTGGCGAGCTGGGCCTCGGTAAGCACGCGCAGCAGCTGCGACAGCAGCTGTGGCACGTACCAAACGCGTAGGCGCTGCACCAGTGCTACCGTTGTCGCTTCTCCGTTGGGTGGGACGGCGCCCTGCAGCCAGGACGCGCTGAGGGCATGGATGCTGTCAGAAACCTCAGATACGAGTCGGATGCCCTCGCTCTTCCAGGGCGCCGTGATGGCGCGCGGGTCACGCGCACGGTTTTCGTAATGGCGGTCCCACGCTTGAACCTGCTGCACGCACTCAACCAGCCGCCCGTACTCGGCAAACTCGGTCTGTTCCCAAGGTGTGACAAGTACGGTCTGGTCGTCGTTGGCCTCGGCGCCAATGGCGTAGGAGCTATATTTGGTCGCAAGTACACTCCAGGAGATAGCATTGCCAAATTGCATTGCCGATTGCAGCTTGCCCACGTCAAGGAAGAGTCGGTAGAGTGTCACACTTGAGTGCATGGCGTCTGGCCACATTGCGGCTTCCTTGTACCAACCCACGGCGTCAATCAGGTTCATGTCATTCTGGCTAACCTCTGAAGTGAACACGATAGCATCTCCTCTGGGGACGTATTCCTCTGGATGCTCTTCAAAGACACGATCAACAGCCTTGCGCACCGTGTTGACCACGTCCAAGTTGTACTTTTTGGCCAGCTGCAGCTGTATCTTACGCTCGTTGGCGTCGGTGATAGTCGCCAGCAGTAGCGAGTATTGCTCGATGGCCTCTTCGGGTTCAAGATATGAGATGTACAAGGGGATTAGCCCGGCCTTGTTGTCAAGTTTGAGTATCTCAATGTAGGCAACAATGATTGAAGAGTACGACTCGGGACGGCCAACATCAATGCCAAGCTCCTTTAACACAATCACAAGATGTGCAGCCACACGTAAAACTTTGATGGTACTCTCAGGGGTCAGCACCGACGCGCGGCCGTTGGCAAGGTTGTCAATGCTTGTTGCAAGTGTGTCCACAAACGCAGGGATGTCATTCTTGATAATGGCACTCAGCAACAACCGCACAACATGGTGGCTTTGCTCTTGCACACCACGCCCAGCGGACTGCTCCAGGTATTGCAGAATATCTTTGACCGATTTGAATGGCGCGGCGGGGATTCTGATTGCATCCACCTCAGGGTCAACGCGGCCAGCCTGGCGCATCACATCTTCTGATTCAGCAGTAATAAGGTTGGACAGGTAAGCCAGCAGTTGCTGCTCCCATGTATCGCTAAGCGCAACCACACTGTCAATATCGCTACTGAGAACACCGTAGATGCCGCGTTCATACTCGCTCAGATTCTTATCCTGCGCCAAGTTGAAGCACATGCGGCGCCACAGCATTTTATTCTGAATACCGACACTCTCCTTATCACTGTTACCCAGCACATGTCCGTCAATCTGACTGTCGTAGTACTCCTCAAGCCCACCAAACGCTAGTGCAAGCGTATAATTCTTGGTCTGCACACAAATCTTGCGTGCTTCTTCAAACCGCCGGGCCCGAACAAGCTCAAAAATGTACTTGTAAAGAGCATCCTCATACTTCTTGTCTTCCGGACTGATGGGCTTACCCTGTCTAATCGGGGCGTCAATGTCTAGTTCAGAGACTCCTGGAATGGAGTTGCCTGACTGCTGGGCAGTGAGAATGGAGCTCCGTGTATATAACCACTTGTCGCCGCGCAGCTCCTCAGGCTCCTGTAGTCTGTCGAGTGAGTCCTGTAACCACGAAAGTATTAGACAGTGCTCGTGCGACAGTGGGTTCTGGCGGAGATACTGCTCCTCGATTAGCGCGTTTGACGAGAACTGGTGGATAGAGATGGGTTCGTCGGTATTTCCCGTCTTGCGAAACCTAAAGAAAAATAAAAAGAGAGTTAGAGACGAGATCATCACGGTTGTGCAGTAAAGGATCACTTACACTAATAGCACATTGAGGAGAGCCCAAAAGCTCGACTCCAGCTTGAGGAAGTTAAATTCATCGCTCTCTTCGCCGCTCGCATCATACAATTGAATGGCCCTTTTACATGTTAGCTCTATCCAACATAGAAAATAACTCTTTCATCAATGACAGTTTAACATACCGCTTGCTGACCAGCCTACCCAGATCTTCGATCACATCAAAGATATTCTCATTGCTCTTGAAATAGATCTTCTCCAACTGTAGTGCAAACGAGTCGTAAAGGTCGACAAATCCATTTGCATCATTGCATGAACTGTCATTTGACAAGTCGGTTTGATTCTGGCGTGACTCTTCTTCACCAAATTTGCTTAATGAAAGAGACGTCATGATAGTTGTTGCTTCTTTTTTTTTTTTTTTATGATTGTTGAAGATTGTATGCTTGATGTTGGCGATGTTTACTTTTGTTCTGCTAGTGATGGGAGAATAAGAAAAAAAAAAAATTATCAATTGAAAATTCACATAAGCGTTTACCTAAGCATCTACAAAGTAAAGCAAAAAATATGGTCTCTGGCGGGATCGAACCGCCGATCCTCGCGTTAACTGCTAGGAGTTGTATTAGCACGATGCCTTAACCAACTGGGCCAAGAGACCAATTTTCTGATAGAAAAAATTAAAGGTCTACCCAAAGATAAAGATACAATAGAAATAAAAATGATAATAGTAAAATGAAATTGATCAAATAAGCTTCCTATTTCAGAAAAAAGCTAGTAATACTACTGCAATATTTTTAAAAAAGCCAGTACAATTGTTTATATGGTCTTGAGCAAAGAAAGAAGTGTGGAGACTGGGGTTCCGCAAGGATCACCACTATCGCCATTTCCTTTTCTACTATACACTGTCAGAGATAGATAGAATATCAGTTTATTGTTCTTAAACCAAATAGTTACAAATTTTGACAGCCAGAGAACAAAATCATTATTGTAAGTGTGGTCAACTGAAAACAGTTAAGCATGTTTTCAAGGAGTGTTCTAAACCAGTGCTCTTTGCATCTGTATCGTAAGATTAAAGAGGCTGGTGCTCAAGTTGTTGGCTTTATCGATGACATCACCATCTATAAAGGTGGTAAGGACGTTGATAAAAACACTGCAACATTGAGTAGGGTGTTACAGATCTGTCATGAATGGGCTCAAGAGTGTCACACTGAATTTGACTATGGTGATAAGTTAGGATTCTTGCATATCCACAAATCCAAACGTGGGCGACCTAAGAAAAAGAAAAAACGAGGTCCAAGAAAACTTACGCTACCGATTGCTGGTTTAGGCAAACGACAAGCTCAGAAGAGTTTGAAGTTACTGGGGGTAACACTTGACTGCGAGCTCAAATTCCAAGAGCATGCAAAAAATGTTACTTCTAAAGCCAAAAGAGTGTCCTCTGCACCCTGCAGAGCGAGACTTGTTGAGAAAAGTTTCCCCGGAGCTTGATCCTAAGATCCTTCTTGATACCAAGAAGGGCCTGGGAACGGTGGTCAAGTTCTTAGATTCATTACCGCAACTTCTTTGCTGATGGTTCGCTTGATTAAGCAGCTTGTTAAGGTTTTACTGGGTGTCAATCTCTGGTATTGAGCTACTGGGTGTTATGTATCTCAGGTTTCCCTTAGCACATGGATACTTTCATGGA